ATCGATCGATCGATCGATCTATGTATGTATCTATCTATCTATCTATCTATCTATCTATCTATCTATCTACAATGTAAACAACAGGCCTTTAAAAAGTATTTTTGTTTTAATACCTTGTATACAGTACGAATGACTCATCTTCTTTCTTATTTTTTTCTCGAAGAACACCACAGTTTTCAGCAGAAATAAAAATTTTCTGGAACCAGTTTTAAAAGGATATACTCCTGCGTCGTCTCCTTATCATTTTTGTTCTTAGCCTGTTAGACAGAGGGTAGGCACAAATCTTTTCACTGGACATAGGCACTATGACCAATTCTGAACCAGTAGGGGTGACCTCGCTTAGTGTCTCTGATCTCCTCAATATAGTTGTCGTACTTGATATGGAAAACCTGGCACTCGTTTGTGATGGTATGTTCATTCCGGGGATATCTATATCTATCCCTCCCTCTGACTCAAGATTTGGACTTTGGGCTCGCCATCTCCTTAGAATCCTCTCTAATGTATTGGTCTTGGACCCAAAAAGTGCTTCATAGCATATGGGTAAAAAATGGCAGAAGATGATGCCATAGCTGGATACTAGAATGGCTGAAGCCTGAACAGGAGTGCCTTCTTCCTTGTTGGTGATATAGACTGGGATAAAACACACCCATACAAACAAGTACATCAGCATGCTGAAAATGATGTAGCCTGTTTCACTGAACTCCTGAGGAACCTTCCTGCTTTTGAAGGCCAAGAGAAAGCCAATCAATGCTAGCAGAGCTATGTAGCTCAACATAATACCAAAACCTATGTATGTGGCACCTTCACTACACTGGATTATTTTCTTCATGCTTTGTGCGGATGGAGGTGTGTCATCAATATCAGGAGAATCAAAGATCATCCAGAGAAGACAGATTATTCCCTGCAGAGCAGTGATGACAGCAACAATTACAGGGGGCTTGTAAAGTTTGTTTAGTTGTCTGTTTATCATCTGACCAAAGGGAAGGAAAGCCAGGAAGGTACGGTAGGCCTTGACTAGAATACAGGACACGCACAGGGTGAAGCCCATCGCATACATCAGCTGGCGGGCCCGGCAGAGGTGTACACTGGGCTTGCCCATGAAGCATATCACACTTGCGAAGCTCACTGCCAGACCAGCCATCATCACACAGGACAATCTCACCTCAGCTCTTTTCATAGGTGGGTAATTTCGGTACACCAAAAACAGAATGAAGATAACAAACAACAGCAAGATGCCAAAGGCTGCAGCTGCCATCATGGTGATGGGATGAGGATCATACCAGTGCAGGTAGGACTCCCATCTTGGCTTGCACTGAGTCCAACCTTTGAGAGACCAAGTTCCACTGGGACACTCTTTGCAGACATGAAGATCTGTTAGAAAAGAGTGTTGAGGTAGATATTAGGTTAAATAAGGTCATATGTAAGGGCTCCATTGTAAACAAGTTAGTTTGCATTTTGAAGCTAAAATTAAGTTAGAATGTAAAATCAGCATGTCAATCAGGCATACCCCATGCATCTGAATAGGTCCCCTCCGTACATTGGGTGCAGTTATAACAGCAGGATACGTTTAAGATCTTCTTTACCGAGCCAGGGGCACAACGCTCTGAGCATCTAGACTGAGGGGTCTGGGATAGCAAAACAAGAGAATATCCTGTAACTGCACATTAGATGTTTAAGCTAGTCTTTGTTCTATAAAATATTGTTTCAAAACCTTGTGTGAGGTGTAGTTGCTAAAATAAACTACAAATAATTGTTTTATCAAATGACAAACTTTTTGGTCCAGTGTAAGATATCTCAACAACTACAGGTCAGATTCCTGTTCATGGTCCCCAGATGGCTTAAGGGTTCAGAATGTTTCAAACAAACAAGGTCATACAATGTGTTGTCCAATCTCATAAATCACATCGAAAGGCCATCCACCTCCCTGATGTCTCTTCAAGAACTGTGTCCTTTGCACATCTTTGTAGTCCCAGCGTAATTAATCATACAAATAGGAATAACAAACTTCTCAAAGGCATTCTTGTTGTTGCACTCAATTGTTCCAACAAATTCTCACTCCTAACTTGTCATATAGTCAAGTGCAGGGCTCCATGGTCAAATTAGCAAGAATAAATATGCAATGTCCACAACTTCTGGTCAGGTTAACAATAATAAATATGCAATGTTGGGTAAGACTTTGTAAGTTATATTACGTACCTGACGTAAGTGCATGGAAAAAATATAACTTACATAATGTACCCGACCTAACTTAAGTACGTTACCTATGGTAACTTACATAAACTTTTTATTTTTTTTACTTTTGGTAAAAGTCCTGTGTTTATCCATACACCTCCATATGCTGACTTTCTCGCTCTTTATACTACGTCACATGACTTCAATGGCAGGGATATCTATAGAGGAGGACCACTAACTACACAACAATGTACCCAATTACTGCGCATAATGGGCATTATTGAAGGATTGGCTGTTTCAGAAAGGTACAAAAATTGTTTATGATGATTCTATCATCGGAAACGGAGTGTGTATAGTATAAGTATAATCTGACAAGCACTAAGTATCAGTAAGTATACTGAGGAACTTAATGTCTTTGGTCAGTTACTGTCTTGCCTAAAGGCAGACAATGACTACACTGTCTATTGCAGCCCACAGACCCGTGAGTGGATGGTGTGAGTACGGTGTTGGCTTACCGTGGTATTGGCTGTTGAGAGCCAGATGAAATTTTTCACTTCTAGTTCTATTTGCTTATTAAGGACAAGGTATTTCCCAATCCTTTGAAATCTTCTGTAGCGTCCATCTCTTTCCCACATGACCAGATCATAACCACTTACAAAATCACCATTTTCGTCAAAGAAGAAATTCTGGTTGTCAAACTCAAACTGAACCTTCTTCAGTTCTTGAAGAACCTGCAAAGCAACAGTTTGTACAATTAAAATTGAACATTTACACAGACTGGTCAGTTTAACAGATGATTTCCTTAACTATTATTCATAGGAATTCTAAGGAAAGGAAACACATTACATTGTAATTCCTAAAATCTCTCTCTCACTTTCTGTCTCTCTCTCTCTCTCTCTCTCTCTCTCTCTCACACGCACACACACACATAAAAACA